GACTCAGTCGCCCCACCTCTCGCAGAGGATGGCTAGATGGCTATCCTTCTTTGCGGAAAATAACTTTGAGGTGACGTATAAGCCGGGAAAGCAGAATGCTTTCACGCGTTGTCACGCAGACCAGACTATGAGCTTGCTCATGTTACAACTGTAACGTCGTCGTCTGTGACAAAACTGATCCGCACCGCGTATGCGGATGATGAGATGTGTGTAGCGTTACTACGGGCTCTAGGGAGCAAGGAGTTTGGATACTCGGACAAAAATTGTCACCGAGACTGCGTGCACGATTGCACCGATACTCGTTGAATAATGGGTTGCAATACTATAGTACCGATTCAATGAATACATCACGAATTGTGGTTCCTCATGATGAGGATTTGAAATATCGCATCCTCGATGAGGCTCACGACACGCCACTCAGTGGTCATCTCGGTCGTGAGAAAACGTACAACTCTGTGAGTCACCACTATTGGTGGTACAAGCTATACAAATGGACGAGCACCTATGTGCGCACGTGTGAGAAGTGTCAACGGGTGAAACCCTCTCCAAATGCGGCGGGCAGCACGGGTGTCGTGGTATTCGTCGACTAGTTGAGCAAGATGACTCATTTGGCGGCGGTGCCAGACACCATCGACAAAGTCGGTAAAGAAACACTGATTGTAGATCGTGTTTTTTGACAACACGGACTCCCAGAGTCGATTGTCTCTGGTAGAGACCCCCATTTTTTCACGGGAAAATTTTGGTCAACTATCTTCAAGGTGCTCGGCACCAAGTTGGATATGCTGACAGCGGATCATCCGCAGACCGATGGTCAAACCGAACGGGTGAATCACGTCATCGAAGACGTTCTTCGCAGCGTCTGCGCTGAGACGCCGAGACGCTGAAGAGCGCCATGTTTTCACTCGTAGAGTTTGCACTGAACAATGCAGTGCATTCATCTACCGGCTACACGCCGTTCTACGCGAAAGGGCTGGTTCACCCTCGCGTCCCACTGACGCTGCCATCCCACGGCTCAGGGCTTGGTGGGGTGGAATGGCCGACGGCTAGCTGATGTCAGCCCCCTCACCATCCGCAAAGAAGTCGATGACTTCTTGTCTACCAGACTGAGTGTCCTACGACACGTTCGCGATGCGATGGCTGAAATCCAAGACCTGCAAAATATATATGCAAATGAAAAAGGAAGAGGCAAAGCGGAAAGCTTTAAGGTCGGTGTCCTCGTTTTAATAAACTAAAAAAACTTGCCTACACATGCAGCCTCTGCTATCTCCAAGACGAAGCTTCGTCCACGGATTATCGGACCGTTTAATGTTGTGGCCAAAAGGGGCCTAGCGTATACACTGAACCTTCCAAAATAGATGCGCACCCACCCGGAGTTTGTGTGGGCTTGCTCAAGCCGTGCCGATATCCGGCGC